TCTGCAATGCCGAGCTTCGTTCCAGGTATCAGAGATGGCGCGGTATATAAAATACAAAATAAACTTGGTATCGCGGTTATAAGACATGGCGCCGTATGCGGGCTTAGTAAATTTTTTTCATAAATATATAAAATAAGTAATGAAATGGCCACATTAATGACATAACAACATGCTGGTACTGTCAACGCTGAAAAAAGTTTGAATTTGACAGCAAAATGATGCTCCATTTATTGAATAATTAATTTATTACAAAAAATGTGATAAATGAAGAACCGCTCGACCGATTTTGTGCAAACTTCACATAAACCATCTAATAAATAGTCCGAACAAAGCCTAAATATTTGGTTTGGCTAGGTGAGTCCGTTCTTGAGTTATAAAATTACAACGAAAAGTGGCATTCATTTTTATATATAGGTATAGATTTATCGACGTTCAAAATTCAACGACTTCCAATGTTTCCATCAATATTCAATATGCTAACGATCATCGTATAATTTTCTTGTATATATATTGAAAAATATTAATGCATACCCATATTAGGTATATGCATATACCTACTTTATCAAGACCCTATCATTCTCCATTTCGTAAATCCATTTAATCAAAACTAAGATACAAAACTTTTCTCCTTGTAAGATATATTATCAAATTTATATCGTATCTCATCTAGACCGATCCAAGAAGAAGTTCATCCACGTTGAATGATATATTACTCAAAAACTGCCCTATCGAAAGAAAAAAACTTTGATTTACTTGATTTATTTAGTATCCCGAAGGAAAAACTTAAATTGATGATAAGACTTGATGCGGGCTTAAATCTTTTTAATGTAACAAGATTGAGAAGCCTTTTGAAATTTTTCTTTGGGGTTGCAACTCGATCGATTTTTTGTTATTGCTGGTTGAAGTGGTTGATCCAAATAGTTTTAATAGATAATAATACCTTCTTGTCAGCTAGAAACTTAATAAACAAACCTCCTAATTTCTAACCCAAAGCATCAGGCAGTTTAGGCACACACGAAGAGATCCTCTATTTTCATAAATAGGCTCCTCCTCTTATCTGCCACTAGGCTTTGGGCACCAATTAAGCGTCTCGGGATTCTCGTAAACTTCCACCTGAGCCCAGCAACTTGGCCGTAACATCTGTTTGCAAAGAAGGTCGGCATAAAAAGTTAGATGTTAATAAAAACTTTGTTTTACTAGTAACGGGCGAAACTTGTAATACTTGCATTGATTGATGCTTGGATTATGTAGATTAACGTTCGGGTTATATGAGAAAAATCGATCATCATTTTGTAACTCATTATTTTTGGCTTTATTTGTTTTTTGATAATCAATCAATATAACCAATGAAACCTTATATTATTATCAGGCCCGACAAGAGGGGTAGACGGGGTAGACGGGACAATATTAAATTGAGATGAATGAAATAGAGATATATGAACTACCCCATTGAAAAAAAAAACACAACAATGCTCCTTTCACTGGATTCTAATTAAAAAATTGTATATGAAAACTATGAAAAGTAATTTTTGTTGTTCGTTTTTAAATGGAAATGGAGAAATTGCAAGGATTTTTATAATTGGGGAAAATGTGAGAATCGCCTTTGTTTTTTCCAATACTGTTTTCTCACAAAGAAAGGCTGGTAAAAGTGCATGGTGATATAGCGATATGTTGAAAAATTGATAATGGGCCACCCTGCACAACTATTTTTATAATTGATTCAGATTTGAAATTATTATACCAATAAGCTATATGCTTTCTTCGCTTCCTAATTTTTTAATTTATACGGTTGTATCAAGTTTAATTAAATAGGTATCGAAAAGCAAACACAACTAAACCTTGTGCAAATTCAAATTACTGTAATACCCGGATCGGGAACACGGACTAAGTGGCCGGATAGTCGCCCGGATTTTGCCATAGTGCCCCCCCTGGAATCCGGAATACTGCGGCGTAATTGTCGTTTATACACGCGCATTTCTATGAGGCCGTTTATCTTGTGTCAAACTGTACCCTCGTTCCGGGGCTTTTGGACGGTGATTTGCATTTCGATCCTGTATCAACATGGTATTAGTTTTCAATTTTATGCAAAATGTTGTCCTTCCATTGACACTATTTTCATACACGGTATTAAAAAGACAGGCCCTCACCAATGTTTCAGGCTCCCGATTAATGTTATATCGATCATAAGTAATTGCTGTCCAAACACTCTGTAATATGCTTAAAACTTCCATCAGACTCATGTCACTCAGTTAAAATCACAAGGTAATGTTATGTGAGCCAGAAAACCAAAGAGTTGAATCCTATTTGAATAAATATGCCCCAAATTGAAAATCAATGCTAACTAAATTCAATTACAATAATTTTTTTTTGTATTTTCAGGTTTCGTGCTCTCGACCATCACGAGCTGTGCTTCATGGCAATTTAACCATGCCTGACATGGCACTCGATTTTTCGGGGTTGAATAGTGATGAAACGGAATCGGTAAGCATTTTTTTTCAAAAGTATAATTCCTCTAACCAAGAATTATCTCCTTTTTACTGGAATGAAATAACATAATTAGGAAACAATTTTCATCACAAATTGCTTTTATTTCTCAGTCATAAAACCAAAACTCTCAGCTAAAATGAATTTTATTTATTTATTTTCATGAATTGTCCACATTGTAAAGTTTATTACCTACTCAAAGTGATTTTGAATGATGACATTTCTAGAAGCTCTTGTATTACGGGGTGTAATAAATGCCACTTTATATTGTACGAACAAGAAATGAAACAAATTTGGCTGTCTTGTATAAGATAATGAGTACGAAATATTATGTGTCTTTTTGAAATTCCATACGTATACAATATACAGGGTCTGGCCAAATGTAGGTATTGCCTATTTTGTTTCATCAATAATAGAAAAACTTGGAACAGTAGAATTTGGAGAATTCTGTTCATAGCTGGACAAAAGCCTTTCTGAAACTCTTCTATCCTGAACAACTAGTATCCAATTTTCAGCCATTCTCTTTATATTGTCTGTTTAAGAAATTGGGGGTGTTCGTCTATTTATAAATATACGACCGATCTTGGACGTCACTCTTTGATCCGCTTTGTCCACCGGCTTTCTACTATTCTGGCGACACGTACCGCCCAGTTTCACTTTATGAACAGAATAGCTCTCACAACATCTGGTACTCCTTTATAGTTTATTCTATCTTATTCCCACGGTTTGCAAAACCACGATTTATTTATTTATACTGTGCTACCTTAGACGATTATCCAATTTAAACACAAAACACTATAATCTTGAACAATATAACTTTATTAACAAACTTCCAATAAATATGTATAAACTCAACGAGTACAAATTAACATTAACATTAACGACAGTATATACACTCAAGGCGTTGGCTGCTCGACTACCTAGATCGGGTCCGGTACCCTTTTTTCATACGTCTCTCATTAGCATATTCTGTTTACATTACTCATCTGGATTGATACGTTGCCACATATACCAACTGAAATTACTTTATCGTAGTTTTCTGGGTGAGTTACTGACAAATCTTCTCCACATAGTGGCACGACGGAAGGTAATCTGAGAGTCATGTAGCTACTCTTGGACAAATGAGATCGTATATTGTCGTATCTAGGACAACGGGGCATCCCCCTTCGGTTAATTAAACCCAATCGTCTTCCAAAAAAGGTTCATGGGTTTCAGGAAAATCATTGATCACGTCACGTTTAAATAAAATTCGGTTGCAGGTTGAACGAATTATCAAATTATATGAGGATCCTGAACCCATGGAAGGTCAATGTCAACGACGGTTCACCGGTAATTGTTTTAATCAGCTATCACGCACCAGGGTCGCGGTATTGATATAAAATAATGGTCTTTGGAAGATGAGAGGTTAGTCTACAGACCGAGAATTAACCGCGTTATTTAGGCAGTAATAATAGTGCCTTAGTCCTGTGATGAGTATAAGTCCCACAATTGAATCTCCGGAAGGGACAGTTACAAGCAGAGACGTTAGAGCAGTCGATACCAGGGAGGAAATAAGAATAGCAACCTGGAATGTACAAACAATGAGCCAGCAAGGTAAAATTCACAATACAATCAAGGAAATACAAAGAATGAGCGTTATCCTTGGAATAAGTGAAATGGCCAGACACTGGTGATATAAACATCGAGGATTATAGAGTTCCCTTTTCAGGCACTACGAATGGAAGACATGAACACGGTGTGGGTTTTGTCTTGAACAAGAAAATAGCGCAGTGTGTGAAAGCCTTTATACCCGTATCAGGAAGAATAGCACTCATCCAAATAAAAGCGAGTCCGGTTGACATGAACATCATACAAATATACGCCCCTACGCTGGATAAAGAAGATGAAGAAGTGGAAAATATGTACACAACACTCAATAATATACTAAAAGAACTGAAGAAGCATGATATCACAATTTTAATGAGCGATTTTAACTTAAAAGTGGGAGGTCATACATCAGACGTTATAGGACCACATGGGCTAGGTGAAAGAAATAAAAGAGGGGACAAACTTGAAGTTTTTGCAGTAACAAATGAACTCGTAGTAATGAAAACTTGGTTCAAACTGCCGCCAAGAAGATTATATACGTGGAAAGCGCCAATGGATGAACCGGGAAGAATAGTCAGAAACCAAATCGATTTTATGTTACTCAATAAGTGGTTTAGAAATAGCTGCCTATCCCTCAAAACATATCTAGGAGCTGACTTTGGATCAGATCACTGTCCCTTGATTTTGTATTTAAAGTGAAAATGAAGAAGGTCAACACTAAGACGACTCCAAACTATGACCTTCAGAGACTCAAAACCCCAGCAATAGAGGAAGCAACAGCAATAATGCTCAACGACAACATTCAACCAAATGAAAACAACAACGTCGATATGGAACTCAGAAATTAAAGCAAGCAGTAGAAACAGTAAAGAAGGAAATATTGAAACAAAATAAAGAGAAAATCTTGAATGACGACAGAAGTAAAAAACATGATGAAAGAAAGAAGACAAAATAAAGGAAATCCAAGGGAATATAAACGTATACAATGCATTATAAAACAGGAAATAAGAAAAGCGAAAGAAAAAGAACTACTAGAAAAATGTCGCGAAATCGAACACAATCAAAACATGCACGATGACTTTAATGTTTACAGGAAAGTCCGAGAAGTAACAAGGAAAGACCACAGAAACAACTGTAAACCGTTGGTCAACGAAGCAGGAGAAATCATCATTGATGCGGAGAAAAAGAAGGAGGCCGGGAAAACATATCTCGAGGAGCTATTCCATGATGTACGCAAAAAGCAAAAACCAAATATAGGAGAGGGACCGGAAATTCTGGTGGACGAGGTGAAAGCCGCCATTTCGGAAAGCAGCTGGTCTGAACCGAATAAAGACTGGATTCCTAAAGTTACTGAACGAAGATAAAATCAAATGGCTGACCAGAATATTCAACAATAACTACTTAACAGGAGAAATTCCAGCGGATTGGTTGAGATCAGAATTTATCACACTACCGAAAAAAGCAAGTGCCAAAACCTGCGGTGATTTTAGAACAATAAGTTTGATGAGTCATCTCTTAAAGCTGTTTCTCAAGATAATACACAAAAGAATATATAGACTTGGTGAAGAACAAATTTCACCGAACCAGTTTGGGTTTGTGAACGCCCTTGGTATAAGAGAGGCTCTATTTGGTGTTCAGGTGTTGTTTCAGAGATGTAGGGATGTCAGCTGTGATGTAAAGTCCGTCGATTTTAATCTGATATTCCAAAAAAAGGTGAGTTAGTGGTTCCCTACGTTAGAACGCCAATGGTCACCTGACGTCATACCTGTTTTTGCCATATACACCACCCTCTCGCTCCTCCATACGAAAAGTGTCAGGTAAATATCGACGGACAATATATGCTTGCTTAATCGATTATCAAAAAGCATTTGACCAAGTCCAACACGATAAAATGGTCGAAATACTGAAGCAAATAGGAATCCTTGAAAAATATTTAAACCTTATTATAAACTTCTATTGGAACCAGATGGCAGTTTTGAGAATTGATGGCAGTCACACAGAACATTGAGGAAGGAATCACTATAAACAGTACTAAACCTAATAACATCAAGATATGCAGATGACACCATCATGTTTGCAGATAGTCTTCAAGGACTTTAAAGTTTGATGGATAGGGTGATCAGAATTAGCTCACAGTACGGGTTAGAAATGAACATAAACAAAACCAAACTCCTCATAGTAAGTAAAATAAACATCGCGGAAGACACACATCAATCACAGTAGAATACAAAGAGTAAGGCAGTACACATACTTGGGGACAATCATTAACGAGAGATGGGATAACTCTCAAGAAATACGATGTCGCATCCAAAAGGCCCGCTCTGTGTTTATTAAAATGAGCTCGCTTTTCAAAAGCCATAACTATCCTTAGACATTAAGCTTAGACTCTTGCGTTGTTACGTTTTCTCGGCCTTCTGTATAGCGTAGAAACTTGGACACTCACTAAAGAGACTACCAGGAGAATTGAAGCGTTCGAACTGTGGCTGTACCGGAGATTATTGATAATGTCTATCACAAAAAATTACCAACATAGAAGTAATGCGTCGGATGAATAAAGAACCAGAACTGTTAGATACCATAAAATGTCGGAAACTTCAGTATTTCGGCCACATAATGAGGAACCCAAATAGATACGGGCTGCTACAGGAAATCCTACAAGGCAAAATTAATAGCAGGAGAGCACCTGGCCGAACGAGAATATCTTGGCTAGCAAATCTTAGAACGTGGTTTGACAAATCAACAGTAGAACTTTTCCGAATCGCCATCAACAAAGTAAGAATAGCCATGCTGATAGCCAATATCCGGAACGGATAGGCACTTGAAGAAGAAGAAGTCCTGTGATAACCATTAGTGCCCATTCATCGTCTTCCAAAAAAAGTTCATGGGTTTCAGGAAAATCATTGATTACGTCAAGTTTGAATAACATTCGGTTCCAAGTTGAACAATAATTCGTTCAGCTTTCTAAGCGCAGGGGATATGTCGTATCTAGAATAATAGGGCATCTTCCTTCCATTAATTAAACCCAATCGTCTTCCAAAAAAGGTTCATGGGTTTCAGGAAAATCATCGATCACATCACGTTCAAATAACATTCGGTTGCAAGTTGAACGAGTTATTAAATTAGGATGAGGAACCTGTACCCATGGAAGGTCAATGTCAACGATGGTTTACCGATAATTGTTATAATCAGCGATTACGCACCATGGTCGCGGTATTATTATAAAATAATGGTTTTTGGAAGATGAGAATGTAGTCTACAGACTGAGAATCAACCGCGTTAGTTAGTCAGTAATAATAGTGCCTTCTAGTCCTGTGATAATTATTAGTGCCCATGCCCATATCTGAAATGTAGTTGTAGTAGGCTTTATTTTAAATACACTTTCCTATTTTTGTACTTGGCTCTAGTTTTGATTCTCACCCCCTCATAACCCTCAGGTTCGCATATACCATCTCTCCCTTTCAATCGAAAGTTGGTGCCTTGCAGCAACTTTTTAAGTTGGACTTGGAGTTCGAGTCCTCTATCGAATAGGTCATCAGTAAGAATGCTTGGCCTTCTTCTGTGCACAGAGTTGAATATTCTGAGCTTATGTTGTTCAGGTGCAGCTGCAGGAGTTTGGTCGATACTGTCGTCTTTCGTGATAATAATTGCGTCTACATTTAAACTGGACATTAGAGAGCGACAACTGCAACAGTTAGGTTAGGTCGAAAATGAGTGGGCCTATCACGGCCCTCCACTGCGACTCATTGGTCTATTGTAGGTCATGCCATAGGGAACTTTGGCCAGGGAGAATGGAACGAACGAGAAGATACGCTCGTAAACTTTTTAAACAACGGAAAACTCTATTGTATGAACATTTTTTTCCAAAAACAAACTTAAAAGAAGTGGACGTGACGAAGCTCAGGCGGACTGGTGAAAAATGAAATAGTCTTTATCCTCGCTAACAGGAACACTATCTGCAAAGATGTCACAGTGCTAAACACGTTTGACACAGGAAGCGACCATAAACTAGTGCATGCCAAAATACAAATAAACAGCAACATAGAAAGGGAACTAGTACCAGACATACATTCTCTACAAGAGATGCCCTGCAACTCAATCAGAAAGCCTATCAAAAAGAACGGGCGAAGACGCTAAGGCTACCGGCACTCCAGGATAAGGACATAAAACAGATATCAGATAACAAATTAAAACCAGAGACGATAGAACTAATGAGAAAAGAAGGAAAACTGACAGAGACTCCCTAAGATAGTACATAACAAACAAAATCCTGGAAACTATAGACAAAAATAAAAGCACGAGAGTTCTAAGATCGAACCAAGAGAGGGGAAAACAGGAAATTTTAAAAATAGAAATGCAATCAAGGAATCCTAATCACAGACAAACAGGAATTTAGAAGGGAAATACAAATATTCTACGAACAGCTCTAACAAACAACTATACCAAGCCCAAATGGACCACCTAAACACATTACAGACGTAGGCTCAGTAGACATGCCGGAAATATGACCATCAGAAATTAAATACGCACTCCAAAAGATAAATAACGACAAGAGTCCGGAAGAAGATCGAATAACACCAGAAATGCTAAAGATGGGTGGAAAAACACAAACAGAGACAATAGGAATACTGTTAAACAAATGTCTGACAGAGGGAAAAATCCAGAAATCATGGAAAAGTGCAGAAGTCGTGATAATATACAAAAAAAGGGATCGTTCAAATATAGAAAACTATAGACCAATAAGCCTGCTATCACACCTATATAAAATTTTCACTAGAATTATCAACAATCGACTGACTGCGAAGCTAGACTCCTACCAACCGGTAGAACAAGCAGGCTTTCGAAGTGGCTTCAGCACTACAGACCATCTGCAAATAATTGAAGCAGTCATCAAAAAAACAACGGAATATAACATACCCCTACATTTGGCGTTTGTGGACTACCAGAAAGCCTTTGACAACGTTGAAACCTGGTCTCTTCTCGCGGCAATGGAGGACGCAATAATCGATTCTAGATACTCTACTCTTATCACGAATATCTATGATAAGGCAACCTTCCACGTAAAAATAGACGACGATCTTAAAACAGAGAAAATATCACTTGGCAAAGGATTACGACAGAATGAAGAGAATAATGCTGGGAATCACCTTAAGGGATAAAATACGCAATGAACAAATACGTGATAGAACCAAAGTGACGGATGTTGTAAAAAGGGTAGCAAGCCAGATGTGGCAATGGATCGCACATGTGGCGAGACAGTACACAGATAGATGGACCCAGAAAACGGCACACTGGAGAATAAGAGGAACAACAAGAAATGTGGGACGACCGAAAAAGAGATAGATAGACGATGTCAGAACGGTGGCAGGAAGACAATGGATGAGATTAGCGAGAGATCGCGGGACATGGAAAAACCTAGAAGAGGCCTATATCCGATAATGGATGGACACGGGCTGACAAAGAAGAAGAAGTCCTATTTATATTCCTCCAATCATGCCTATCTTCTCGATGGGATCCAGGATAGTAGTTGGAGAGATGTTGTCCAGGTCTCCCAGTGGGATCACTGCCCAACCTAAGATATAATGCCTCAGTCTGCCACCTGCCGCACATTCGCAAAAAAATGTGCGCAGCTGTCTCTGCGTCCTACATGCTTAGCCAGCACTCAGCATCAACTTCCAGTTCAACCCAGTGCATGTGGTGTTTTAGTCTACTTTGTCGAGTGTATAAGCCGATTAGGGTTTTCAGCTTAGTTCTGCCGAGCTCCAGCATCCTTCCAACCAAGCGTTCTTTCACTGGTTGTCTTTAAATTGTCTTTGCTTGTGTCATCCCTGGCAGGTTTAGTCAATGTTCGTAGGCTTTATTGTCCGCCCTGGTTCTAATGGTCTGATTTGCCATGTTATGGGCAATGCCAGTACTGGCTCTGGTCATGTGCTGTAAAGTTGGTTTCTGCTACCTCACTGGCAAGAAGAACCGCCATTTCATTGCCCTCAAAGCCAGCGTGTTTCGGTATCCATATTAGGGCTACCTTGTTTTTCTTTCCTAATTTGCTTAGAGCTTCCTGACAGCCAACTAGATACGTGGAGGTGGAGCTAAGCGCCTTTAGAGCGGCTTGGCTGTCGTAACAATTTTTTATGGTTTTGTGAGTTTGGTGTGAATTCTGCAGCCTTCTAACACCCATTTCACTGGTTCCGCTTGAAATATGGTTGCATTGTTCCTTAGACTGATGGATAACCTAGTTTTCGGTTTTGCACCATAAAAACCCACTGTCTTCGGTCCATCCGTAAACGGTAGTAGTAGGGCATGCTCATTCTGCACCCACTCTTTCCTTCTTGGGTTCGCTACTGTTTAGGGCAGGGCACTTGTGTGT